GCCACTGGCCGGGGGCGGGGGCCCGGACCAGGGGCGGCGGGCGGCGTAGGCGGCGCCCGGGGCTGGGATGCGCAGGGGGCTCCGTGGCGGCGGCGTTGGCGGCGGCGTCGGCGGCCGCGGGGGCACGAGCTAGCGCCGCGGCGCGGGGAGCCAGTCGAGCCCGGCGGGCGAGCGGAGGCGGCGGCGCAGGCAGAGCGGCGGCCGCAGCCGGAGCCCGAGCGCCGCGCGCCCACCATGGCCGCTCAAGGCGAGCCCGGCTACCTGGCGGCGCAGTCGGACCCGGGCTCCAACAGCGAGCGCAGCACCGACTCGCCCATGCCCGGCTCTGAGGACGACCTGGTCGCCGGAGCGCCCCTGCACAGCCCCGAGTGGAGCGAGGAGCGCTTCCGCGTGGACAGGAAGAAACTTGAGGCCATGTTACAAGGTAGGCATCCACCCCGCGTTCTCGGACTCCCGGGCTGCGCCCGCGACTCCTTCCCGGACATCCCCGCCCCGCGTCCCGGCGCCCGCCGCTTCGGCCCAAAGCCGACTTAGTTCCCCCGTCCCTTCCCCCTCGGAGCCGGAGGACACCCAGGGAGTGCAGACCTCGCGGGAGTCTCCACCCTTCCACGCCTCCCAGGTCTCCGGGCACCGAGTACCCTGTGCTAACTTGACCGGCTTCAGAAAAGCCGAAGGCCGTGTTTGTACCCGCGCGCCCAAGTTGCGTTCTTGGACTTTGGAGATGCCAGCTTTAGTCCGGACACCTGGGCTATGCCATCCGGACCCAGTCGGACCGCGCAGAGTATGCGTGACTCCCTCCCCACTCTCTGGCACTCTGGAATTCTAGCTCTGTCTCTGTTTCTCTCCCTCCTCTTGTCAGTATCCACTTCCTCCAGCTGAGGGGCCTTGTCTCGCTATTGGGAAATGCTCTGCAGATGTCAAAGCTTAAGACAGGAGTTCCCGCCCCGCACCCGGGGTAAGAGGGGCCAGCAGGGGGGTGAGCGGCCAAAGTGTGGGGATTGTGTCAGGGCAGTGCTGCTGGGTTGGGGGGCAGTGCTTCTAGGTTGGGGGACAGTGCGTGTTCATCGCCTGACAGGCTTATAAAACACATCTTGAGTTACACTGGGTTCATAAAAGCCTTCCCGTATTATGGGTATCTATCTGACTTTGTCTTTCACAATTTGGTGGTGGTTGTTGTTTTTTTTAAACTCCCTCGTTTCTCTGGGACTTTCCCAGGCGTAACAGCTTTAACCATACACGACTGGGAACAAATTTTGACTTTTAATGGGAGGATTGGAGTTCTTAGCGTGAGTGCTAAAATGTCCAACGTCATTTTGATCTTCCCTAAAAATGTTAATTACTAGCTTACCTGTAGTCCCCAGTGTGTTTCATTTCCATCATCCAGAGAAATAAGGTAATTTGAATGACTGTTATTCTTAAAATAGTAGAGGGACCAGGCATTACTTTCACTAAGGGTGCAGTGGTGGATTCATTCAGTAGCTCGTATCTTTATATGAAGGGAGGATTGGAGCTTTCCAACTTACTTTTGTGGCTTGGTGCCTAATTTACTTTGACTTGATCAGTCAGTGCATCGCAGTGTGGGAGCTATTTAGCCCTCCGTGGAAATGCAGTGGTTTTTTAGAACAATTAAGCAGGTTATTTTAAGACAGAACAAGATGTTTTCCAAAACAATAACTTGGTGGAAACAAATAGCAAGAGTGTTTGGTAGGCGTTTTTGGATGAGTTACAAACTCATCTCTCTTTTTGCTTATTTTTATTAATAAACATCCCCAGTGCTTATCATGTCTCTGTCTTACTCCCTCTTTGTTTCCTCCTTAAATTATGTGACTTTCTAGGAGAGTTACTTCTGTGATAAACTGTTCAAATAGGAATATTGCAAAGTGGATTTGGAAATTAAAGCCCCAGTTGCCTTTCAGTAACCTATTTTAGTTATTCCATTTGTTCCGTGGTTCTTTTTTGCCTAGTTCCTATTATAAAACAAAATATTAAATTTATTCAGAAAAATATTGCTGTGAGATTGTTTGGGTTGAACTGATAACACACATACCTATCCTTTCAACAAATTTCTAGTTTATTTTGTACATTTGGAGGGTTGTGAAAGATGGATCTTTTACGTCTTCCTTACCTGTCTTGCCTACGCACATGCAAGTAAAGACAGTGATGTTAGCTCCTAGGAAGCCCTCTTGCATAACCTGAGCTTTAGAAGTGGATTTCTTTTTTGAATCAATTAATTTCCATTTAGAATAAAACGAAATATAGGTAAGACATTTTTTAAAATTTGAAGGCCATTCCCTTTGTAGATATGATATTCTGACATGAGATAGTTTAAAATTGCTTTGCTGTGATGAAGTTTCTTTTACAGAAACTCTTGAGGTAGTATTTCTTCAACAACCTATGAATTAATGAGGTATTCACACGTCAACTCCAAAGATTTCTTGAATAATTGAACATAGTGCTTTGATTAACTTTCCAAAATCACTAATAAGTGAATTATGCCTTCTAAGTAAGTTTGAACACATTTGACAATAGCACCCAGTGCACTGTGTACCAAGGCATTTTGTCATGCATGCTTCCTGGTGTCAAATTTTGTTAGAACCACCATGTTTGAAGGATTAAGACTAGTTTCTGAACCAAACATAATCATGTGTCTCATTGCTCGATACTAGGTGGGTTAAAGCAAGCGTGGGCAACTGGAATCACTCAGACCTAGGTTCCCTGTGGAACCTTGGGATAGTTCCTGGGCACTTCCCCATCAGTTTGTCCGTCTGTAAAATGGGACTGATATTAGTACCTTTCTCTTAGAGTTTTGTGAGAATTAACAGAGGTAAAGCCTAATAAGCTAAAACTTGCCACACTGTTTTATAAATGCTAACAGCTTAATATATATCAGTTGATTTTATTATTACTACTAATAAATATTATAGCATGGATTCAAATGACTTCCAGTGCCTATCACAATTTCTGACAGTAGTCTATATCTAAATATCTAGAGACCAAAAGAATTTTGCAGTTTCATAATTGCAGAAGTAAAATAGAGAACAAGGTAGGAAGTTTGGAAAGTCAACAAATATTCTAATATTGTTAGATATCCTTGGGTGGAAAGTTTTTCACTTGAAAAGTGCCAATTAAGAAAAGTCTGTATTTGCCTGGTTGGGTTTCTGATTTGGATTTGTCATTTTTCCTCGGTCAATCGCCTTAAAATATGTGCAGGTTTCCAGTTTAAATCAGGATAAATAAGATTCTCTGCCTTTAAGTCTACATAGTGCAAATTGGTGATTATAATGCTTGGAATTTGTTTCCAGAGAGACTGTCCTGGGGGTAAGTTAATCTTTAATGGGTTGTATTTTTATTAGTAGAGAAATTCTTCTACGCAATGGACCAAAAATTCAGTGAGGTTAAAATATGGGCAGTAGGGTAGTGGTCAAAGAAATGAAAATACCATTCTTGGATGAATCCCCAAAGAATTGATACACATAAAATCCACCAGGCCAAAAATGTAGGAAAAAAGATCACTAGTTTTTTATTTTTTGCTTTTGTTTTTTAATCTAATAACTACTTTGTAACAACCATGCAGAGTATCTGACACTTCTGTTTGAATCTAAATGAAGATTATTGATTATATCAGTCAACAGTTTTGTAAATGGGAATTGATTTTCATGTTTAGGTTTTTGATGGGGATGGTAGGCCTTGGAATAGGTATGATGGACAACATAATAATAAAGAAAAATTGTTCTTGATTTACTTAATACTGACCTTCAGAATTTAGACTTCATATTTCATGTGGGATCGTAGTATTGATTCATTTCAGTCAATGAAATGTGATTTATGGTGTGCAAAGAGGGAGAAGAGTGGTCTAGAGGAAAGTCTGGGAGAAAGTAGCAAATAAATGGGTCAAGGGTCAGAAATACAGCCTTGGTGTTGGCCAGTGTCCTGAGAGACAAACATGGATTTTGTACATTTATACTTTTCCTTTTCCTTCTTTTGGGGTTGTTTTACATCTTATGATTATACTTTTATTGTTACACTGAAAAACATATACACGTGCTGTACAGTTAAAAGTCCCTACATAAAATTTAGACTCACAGGCATTTTCAAGGTTTGGAATCCCTTGTATTGCATCATAGAAAGAATTGTGGGCTGGGGGCAGTGGCCTGTTTTTATGAATTGAGGTTGATGTCTGGTGGGCTTTTAGGATATTGCTGTTAAAGACATTAAGAACCATGTTTTGGAGACTTCCCTGTTGGCCCAGTGGTTAAGACTCCGTGCTTCCAGTGCAGGGGGCACAGGTTGGATCCCTGGTTGGGGAACTAAGATCCCATGTGCCATGCGGCGTGGCCAAAAAATTAAAAACAAACAAACATGTTTTACACGTTCATGGTGATGGGCAGAACAGGAATCACTGATCACTGCTTGCTTGAGGAGTAGGACGAGCCACTAAAACAGCTGATCACACATTGATTAAAAGCAAGAGCAGCAGTTATATAATTACATATCTTTTTTCTTTTTTTAATTAATTAACTTATTTATTTTTTTGGCTGTGTTAGGTCTTCGTTGCTGTGCACGGGCTTTTCTCTAGTTGTGGCGAGCGGAGGCTACTCTCCGTTACGGTGTGCGGGCTTCTCATTGCGGTGGCTTCTCTTGTTGCAGAGCACAGGCTCTAGGTGCGCGGGCTTCAGTAGTTGTGGCTCGCGGGCTCTAGAGCGCAGGCTCAGTAGTTGTGGAGCCTAGTTGCTCCACGGCATGTGGGATCTTCCTGGACCAGGGCTCGAACCCATGTCCCCTGCATTGGCAGGCGGATTCTTAACCACTGCACCACCAGGGAAGTCCCTACATATATTTTTAATTTGGCAAACTTTAGTGAAGATTGTCTTATAATTTGGTAAATAGATAATAATCTTTTAGATGCTTTTGTGGGATCAGGGAGAGAGGAAGTAAAAATATATGAGAATGGGGGAGTGCTGAAAATGAAAATAAACAAGAGCTAAGCTGAATGTAGTTTTCTAGCTAAGGCTTGTTTAAGGCTAATAAACAAGAAGAACAAATCCAATAGCTTTATGAAGCTGAGTGGTTGAAAGCAAAGTGTTCTTGGCCAGATCTGGATTTGAGTCTTGGTCCTACCTTTAAATAGGGAGCTTGGGAAAATTCATTACCTGCAGCCCCATTTATGAAAGGGGGTGTTAATCATGGTGCCTACATCTGAGGTGGTTGTGACCATTAAGAGAAAAAAAGATGGATGTAAAACATCACAGCGCTGGCCACAGAGTAAGTGCTGAATAAATCACTAATAACCATATGTATTATAAACCATAGTTCATAAAATGCACATTCTTATATTGAAAATTAAAATCAAATATATTTGAAAATGAATTAAATGGTTTATAATAAATGAACATTCACAGCTATCTAAATATTTTTATTGGCTTT